GCTGGTGAATCTAGACTAATCGCACCCCTGACAGGTGTAGAGGATAGTTCACTCATTGCTCTCCCTCTCCCAAAGGCTAAACTAAACCGGTTAGGTGTAACACTGTCCTTGTCTACGTCATTAGCATGTGCCATTTTACACAAGAGATAACACCAGAATTACAAATTCTCATTCGAGATCAAGAATGCAAAATAATCAGCAACCAATATCAAAACGTCCTCCTTTTTTGATAGCAATGTTTGTATCAATATAACTAAAGTCTGTGACGTGCAGTAACCTCTGGTGACCGAACTGATGTCGATCCACAGCTCCAGGAACCACGATGAACCAGTCCAAAGCAGCGTGGATCCGGGTCACGGCACCATTGTAGCCCGTCTGTCAGGGCACCAGTAAACTTTCTGCACTCTGCGTTGTGTCTTCAACTTGAAAGGAGGACCACTGCCATCAGATTACCCAACACAGGACTTGATTCTCTCCTCGTCGTGGCATCTAGCTGAGAGCGGCGCGAATTAACAGGAAGTGACATCGCGCACAGGAAATCACATCACAGAAATAAAACTTAACAAAATAGAAGCTCAAAAAAACAAGAAAGGGAGGATCTTAAACAGTTTGCATGACAAACCTCACGGCAGAGAATGGATTCAGTGAAATATATATATGAGCGATTAATTACATCTGCTACAATTATCTGCATTCAAAGCTTAACACCTATGGCTAATTATCAATTAAACCGTATAGACAAATACAACTATCCTACACTGTTTGGTTAAGCCGGCCATCACATTAAACGAATCCAATTAGCCTAAGAACAGAACGTGGAACACATTGAAAGCTGATTACCACCACTGGTCAAAAGGAAAACACAATAAACTAGCATCCAAGTTAACAACGACACAATACACAAATCGCCCAAACAATAATAGGGTTCTTTTGTTGACAGCTGATAGTTTAAATAAATGTGTACTCACTACAGTATATGTCCTGTCCTTTGGTTCTCATGGAGTTGAGCAGAGCCACCATTGCTGTTCCTCGTGTAGCAGTTACGTTATCTTTAGGAGACGTACGCAAGAAAAGTTCGCATTCAAATTAGCTAATGTGACAGACACACAACAGCTTGAATAAATCCGGGAATTCATCTTGATATGGCATTAAATGTACATAACACGCCGTGCTGGCAATAACCCCACTCGGTCTCTCTGAATAAGACACGTTGCCTGATGAAGTTCAAAAACAAGGTTATTGTAGTTTACTTCTTACTATGTTGTGACATCTGCCAAATTGCCTCCTTTTCAGTTACTTTTGAAGGGCAGCTCTTTCTTTCACCGATTAAACAGAAATCGATTCAATACATAGCCTACAGCAGTGGTCCCCAACCTTTTTATCACTGCGGACCGGTCAACGCTTGACAATTTTACTGCGGCCCGGGGGCGGTACGTAGATTGTTTATATTGTAAATATAATAATAAATGTAAATTCACTGTGTACTTGTATGCAACATTATTAGCAGCTTCCTCGTAACATTGCGCCACCAACATAACATGAGTATAACATCAAAGTCTCAGTTTTCAGTGCTGTGGTGGCGATCTCAGGGTATTCTGTCATGACTTTAATCCAGAACACCGGCAGAGTTGTTGTCTCGAACATACTTTTAAGGCCGCCGTCATTTGCGATCTCCAGCAGTTGATCTTCTTCTTGCACAGACCTGCTGGATTCACCTGGTTTGTTGACAAATGGGTTGCGGATCCATTCCTTGGCAGTTCGTGGGTCCTTTGTGGTTGGGAAGTAGCGCTCGAACTCTTTTAAAAGCAAAGACAGGTGATCGTGCACCAGCTGGGAGAATGAAGGCTCAGGCTCAGTCTCACCCAAAATCCCCGCTAATGTTTGAAACATGTCCAAAATGCCGCTGTTGACGCGCCGTCCCCACAAATCCAGTTTGGCTTTAAATGCAACTACTTTATCTGCCAACTTGAAGACAGTTGTCATTTTCCCCTGAAGTGACAGACTGAGTTCATTGAGCAGGCTGAATATGTCCACAAGTAAGCCAGTTTTGGAGCTCAAGTGAGCGAGATGTAACCGAGAGAATGCGGTCATTTTTCAAAATAAAAGATCGTTCAGACTCAGATAATAAATAAAACGGAAATAATTAATGATTTCTTGTGCGGCCCGGTACCAATTGATCCACGGACCGGTACCGGTCCGCGGCCCGGGGGTTGGGGACCACTGCCTTATACTGAAGCATCATATATATAAAAAAAAACCAATACATTATACAATTTTAAATACAAATAAAAGCAAAACAGAAAAAGAAAATGTAGATAAGATAGAGTAAATGTACATTTTAGAAGACAGCGACAGGAGAATTGCTGAAAAGGCCCTACAGGATGATCATGAAAAAGGAAGAGCTGTCCAGTTTTTCCACACTCTCAGTCAGTTCTCATGTCAAAAAGATAGACTTTGCCTCCACATGACTTTTTAAGTTGCATGACATTACATTACCTGCTACTATTATCTTATCTATTCTCATGTAACCTGAACATTCTCGCAGTCTTGTAATAATGCAGAGCTGACCCTGCTGTAGGAGGACATTTTCCGTACGCATCAGTCCTTCTCTTAGGTTGGAAGAACAAACCACAGAGTAAAAAAACAAAGAGAGATGTCTCACTAAAACAGGAAGCATGTGCTGTTTGTTAGGAGTCTCTGACTTCAGACGACCTTTATGGAAGCGGCTGTGGTGAGAGGTTTGAGATTTCATGTGTTCTATTCACCAGTGCTAACTATAAACAGACTGCGAGGGTTCCATATCAGTGGAGAAGAAATGGTTATCTGAAGGCCATTTTGTTCCATACCAGGCAATGATTATGATTGATTAAGCCCATGATTACTGGGGCTGGTGATCACCTAAAGGTTAACTGGTCAGGATGGAAAGATCTGGGACTGAAGAGTGAATGACAAGTATTCTTCCTAAACTCAAACACTACCATGTCAATGGTCTTAACACAAGACACTGTGTCGCAGCTGCAGCAGAGCACAACAAGCCAGTGAACTGGGTTGTTTTCTTGCTAATGAATTAAGTGACAAATATATAAAATGTGTTTAAACCAGCTAAACCTGTCATTTCCCATTGTTTTCCTGCAAGTCTATACAACAAGTGTTTTTAAAATCCATTCATTTATTATGTTGTGAACAAGTTCCAGCAAAAACATTACCATCACCCTTGGAAGTGAGCAAATGTCTTCTACTGTGTTCATTTACTGTAACACTATCACACAATGAGAAAAGCCCTTAGTGACAAATATAAATGATATAAGATAAATTAAAAACCAAAATGGGAGAACCAGGTATTGTCTTATATGATAAGGTGCTGTTATTACCTTTAAAATTAAAAATGGAACAGCAGTAAGTGTATGTTCAAGGACAGGGGGCATGTGGTTAACAATGACATAGACAAGTCAATTTTTTTTATTCATACTTTTTTTGAACTTCCACATTTATGTTTTATGAATCCCTACAGGTCCGGTATCACGAGTATATCTACGGATTAAGGTATCTTCCTATCGACAGCTCAGCAATGAAACCATCATTCAGTATGTTAACCAGGTATGTGAAACAGAACACACAGAGTAACTTGTTTTGTAAATTCTCTTCAGCTACTTAATGATGATAATGCACTGACACAATATAAATGATGGGGTGAAGAGAATGAGATTGATCTTCTGATGTTTTTTCTCTGTTTTCTGCCTATTTAGGCTTTTTACTACTACAGCTACTACCTGTATGGAGCAACCTACGTTGTGAAAAGCATTCAAATGTCTCAAGTTGTAAATTCCATTCCAACAACAACTACAGCCACAACCACGACACGTGCTCCGACAAGACGACGCCTGCAGTGACAACCACGACAATTCCATTATTCTGACAGCATTTAAAAAGTGGATGATGTCATTTTGGTATTTTAAAAACTTGAAGCAGACTTTTAAATTTAGTTACTGTCACAGTTTAATCCTCATTGGATGTAAATCCAGAATCAGAGAAGTATGTTAGGTAAAAACACAGGTGTAATGGCAGGAGTTCAACTTTCACAGGATTAGTAAAATAGGGATACAGATGACCTGTTGCAAAGAATGGAAGCTCTTTGAGGAGAGTGGAGACAGCAGATAATACTGATGACACTGGTAAATAACTGGTAAGTAAATGCTTCATAGGTGTTTAACAGGTGACACAGGAGGCTCAGTTAGATCATTACTTTCAGGCAGGTAGTTTGGGCAAATAATACAAGGAACAGAAGAGTCTCCAAGCTCAGGTAAGGGGCACATTTGAGGCACTAACCAGCTCAGTATAGGGAGCAGGTAGGGGTGTAACAAAACCACCACAGTTCAGTTTGATAGAAGATAAAAGGCTTATGCTTTGATTCACTCACAATATATTTAACAAAGGAGGAAAACAACCTGTCAGTGTTATGTATTCTGTTTTAGGCATGTAAATTAACAAAAATGTTTTAAGGTACTTGTTTCTCACTGCTCTTTCTTATTCTGTGGTGTAAAATGCAAAAATGTTATCTCAGAATCTCTAAATAAATGCTGCTTTAATGCCCACAATTTATAAACGTCCTGATAAACATGAGGAGTAAATGAACAAAGTGGTTGAAAAACAACTACCCAACTACAGTTACACCTGTGGAAAGGCCCTGTTTGACTGTTGTCACAGAAACTCATTATATATCTGCTCCAGTCAAAAAATCACGCTCACCTGGAACTGAGGTAGCAGGAACCGTGAGATGGTGCAAGCATGGAATGAACTGGGCTCTGATGTGTTGACAAGTTCCCCCTATTTCCATCCCCTCCTCCATTTCTTGCTAGACACTTTATTGCTAATCTGACTGCTGAATAGTGAACGATTGTCACGGTCATCAAGGCTCAAGTCACGGTAGCCGTGCCCTCTAGCGGTAACATCAATTACATTTACAACTTTTGGGATTCAAAATCTAATTGACTTCATATTGTGACCCGTTGCCCAGTTTTATAATGAGTATAAACAGTAAATTAACGAGCAGGCAGAGGAAAGCAAACCATTCAAACAGGGAGCAGACAACTGACCAGATTTAAGGACAAAACAAGGCAAGGTGTGAGTCCAATGGGAGAACCAGGTATTGTCTTATATGATAAGGTGCTGTTATTACCTTTAAAATTAAAAATGGAACAGCAGTAAGTGTATGTTCAAGGACAGGGGGCATGTGGTTAACAATGACATAGACAAGTCAATTTTTTTTATTCATACTTTTTTTGAACTTCCACATTTATGTTTTATGAATCCCTACAGGTCCGGTATCACGAGTATATCTACGGATTAAGGTATCTTCCTATCGACAGCTCAGCAATGAAACCATCATTCAGTATGTTAACCAGGTATGTGAAACAGAACACACAGAGTAACTTGTTTTGTAAATTCTCTTCAGCTACTTAATGATGATAATGCACTGACACAATATAAATGATGGGGTGAAGAGAATGAGATTGATCTTCTGATGTTTTTTCTCTGTTTTCTGCCTATTTAGGCTTTTTACTACTACAGCTACTACCTGTATGGAGCAACCTACGTTGTGAAAAGCATTCAAATGTCTCAAGTTGTAAATTCCATTCCAACAACAACTACAGCCACAACCACGACACGTGCTCCGACAAGACGACGCCTGCAGTGACAACCACGACAATTCCATTATTCTGACAGCATTTAAAAAGTGGATGATGTCATTTTGGTATTTTAAAAACTTGAAGCAGACTTTTAAATTTAGTTACTGTCACAGTTTAATCCTCATTGGATGTAAATCCAGAATCAGAGAAGTATGTTAGGTAAAAACACAGGTGTAATGGCAGGAGTTCAACTTTCACAGGATTAGTAAAATAGGGATACAGATGACCTGTTGCAAAGAATGGAAGCTCTTTGAGGAGAGTGGAGACAGCAGATAATACTGATGACACTGGTAAATAACTGGTAAGTAAATGCTTCATAGGTGTTTAACAGGTGACACAGGAGGCTCAGTTAGATCATTACTTTCAGGCAGGTAGTTTGGGCAAATAATACAAGGAACAGAAGAGTCTCCAAGCTCAGGTAAGGGGCACATTTGAGGCACTAACCAGCTCAGTATAGGGAGCAGGTAGGGGTGTAACAAAACCACCACAGTTCAGTTTGATAGAAGATAAAAGGCTTATGCTTTGATTCACTCACAATATATTTAACAAAGGAGGAAAACAACCTGTCAGTGTTATGTATTCTGTTTTAGGCATGTAAATTAACAAAAATGTTTTAAGGTACTTGTTTCTCACTGCTCTTTCTTATTCTGTGGTGTAAAATGCAAAAATGTTATCTCAGAATCTCTAAA